AGGACAAGGAGAGTAATATGAGCATGAGTATGATGAGATTGGCATGTCCTAGCTTGAAGATGCACCCCAAGGAACTCAAGGCCCCTCCGGTTCTGGACATCCACAGAGGACGCTCAGACCAGTGGACAGGTACACTCTAGTTGACGCCAACCCCTGGTGCATACTGGAATCCTTTGCCTCGAAGCGACAAGGTGCCCAAGCTCGGCGTTCCGTAAATTGATGCCGAAAGTTAATTAATCTCGGCGTGAATGGCCGAGCCAAACCCTAGGGTTGGCGTGGGCCGAATCAACGCCATGGTCTTCTACCTCGGCGTCGTCCGACTTGACGCCGAGCCTATAAATCATAAAAAAGAAAGAATAAAGTATTAAAGACAGAGGTCTTCTAAACCTTTGGTATAGGTTGAAATCCTATTTGCATGATTCAAATGAAAAATCTTTCTCAATGATTCCTCTTCTACTAACACGAGTTATACTAATAAGAGTAGACATGCTATATTTATGTTTGTTCCTGCAGGAAAAAAGCAAAGGTTGGTTCGATTTCAATCCCTATTTTTAGAGAGAGTCAAATCAAATCTTTTTTCAGTTTGGGAATCAACCATAGTACATGAAACTTAGAGATAGATAAACTGCAATTTATGAAATAGCGAATGCACAACGATTACACTCACATCAAAACTAACAATGGCATGTCGCAAACTAAACCTAGCATGCCTTAGGGGATTGAAAGAAACAAGTGATACAGACGTTGCAAAGGTACTACGATTACACACTCACATGAAAACTAACAATGACATGTTGCAAACTAAACCTAGCATGCCTTAGGAGATTGAAAAGAACAACTCATACAAGCATTCCACATTCGGATTGACTAACAAAGGTTGGTTCTAATAATGCTCCCACATATTGAACTGAGTTGCGCCTTCCCTATAGTATCCTCCAGTTGACGGTGGCGGTGGCGATGGCGGTGGAGAAGGAGGCCTGTGCTTCTTATGGTACGAGCAATCGGCAAGACGGATTATTGCATAGTGCCTCCTCTGCATCATTGCTTTGTCGTCGTCCGTCCGACTTGTCCTCATTACCACTTCTGTGGCCATACTCTAGGTCAAAGATGCGTCCCTCAGAGATATGTGATGTACTATTGATGGGGATAGATAGGAGGAGGGTCGACCCATCTAGTGAAGCCACAGTTATCTGGACAGCTTGAATCCTAAAAACCCATCTACCACTAAGTACTACTACAAACCAAATGCAAATCTAAAAAAGGAGAGAGTTCAAAGGAAATACAAATCCTCGTGGGCATCTAAAGAAACAACGACCTCCACCGTCACAGTCGTTGTATATCTGCACAACGCAATCCAAACCGTGGTGGCATTTTGGCCAATCTTCAATGCGCTTGTCGTATGATCTAAGAGGTCTCTCACGGGTGAAGTCACTCTTCCTCTCCAAAGAAAATTCCTCTATTGGTTCTTCAAAAGAATCAGGACCCAGAGAACCCTCCCACACAATCGGAGGTCCCTTCCTCACCCCTTTCCTCTCCCTCCGCTGAAACCCTTTCCACTCGAGGAACCTCCGCTCGACATTTGCTAAAACTAAACCAGAAAACAAGTTGTGTGGATGTGGAGCAAGACATGGAGCACTATATATAGAGATGAATGCAGGTTCACCATGAATGCTACTTGACAAAAAACTTGTGTGCGTACTCATTTATTGAATCTGCAAAGGCTAGATGCTTCATCTGAAAAGCCTACAACCATGACTGGTCATTTCATCTGAAAAGGCTACACCTGTGTTTTGTCACTTCATCTACATGCAGTACATCACTCTGATATTAATTCATTGCGTATATGGATACAACAGTAAACGAATCTAGGCTTTTCAGTGAGTTTCAAATAGACTTTTCATTGATCGCAATTGCAGTATTTGTAGCTCTTTCAAAGGATGGCTGCATAAAGACAAGTAGCCTTTTTAGTGATACAAAAGTAGCACTACTGAGTCTAGGATAGTTAACGGCACAGGGCATAAGACCATCTCAAATAAAAGCATAGTGCATTACAACATAATAAAAAAGTCTAGGGAATAAGTTCATCCAAAATAAAAGCAGAGTGCATTACAACATAGTAAAAAAAGTCCAGGGCTACACGACATCGCTCATGAATAAACCAAATACCTCTGAAAGTGCAACGAGGCCACTTTCCCTTCCTCCGGGCATCGGGATTCTCCTCCATCATTGTCTTCGCTCTGCGCACACGCCAAGCTTCTTCTCCTCTCCGCCTGCACGCAGCAAGAAACACGCCTCCTTTCCTCCTCTTCCTTATGCTCCTTTTCTATAGCCTCCTGCGTGCCTCTCGCTCAAACCTCTCCTTAACCTCCGCATCCCACTCCTTCAGCCTTCTAGATGCTACTTGTCCGACTCCTTGATCTCAAAGTCAATCCACTCGCTCAAAGTCACACAAAGTGGTGGAACGATCTGCAAGAAAAAAACAAATTGTTACAAAACAAATAAATAAGCAATACTTAATATCACAAGAAAATTAATTAACACACAATAAAAATTCCTCACAATCGATGCACGGCGCTGTTGCTTTGTAGGTTCCCATGCATAATTGGGACACATCCAGTACCTCTGTCTATATGTTTCCTCATCTTAAGAGATGTCTACCTTGCAAGGATCACCACAAAAGCACATGGGTCGAGGAACACCTTCAGGGAAAGGCTTTAGGTCGTAGGGATTTGCCCTCTGGCGACCATAGCTACAATTGAAAGAATTTAGTCATATTAACGGAGAACCAAACCTAAACCTAGGGTTTTCTATTTGTTGCACAAATAATGAATAAACATTGGGATTACCTTGAAATACGAGCTTTACCACGCCTTGGCATCCTAACATCACGTAGAAAAAAAATCAATCCAAAGTACCTTGCAACAAATGTAAAGCTACTAGCACTAAATCACCATACCTCCCAAATAAGCTTTTCATTACAAACCCTAAGCAAATTTGAATCCCAACAAACACAAAATTCAACTCAATGATTATAAACCAGAACATATACAACAACAACAACCATACATTTGGGTCATTCAATCATTTGAACCACCATACATTGCACGAATGACATGAACATGAACCAAACCTATAATGCCAAGTTAAAAAAAACACAAACAACCGAATCTAAATGGATGAAATGAAAGAGGGGAAAGAGGAGTACCTTGGCAAAACATCAAAACCCTCGATCCGGCCTCCCAAGAGCCGGATTTAGGATTTAGGGTTCGTGGGAAGAGAGAGGAGGGAAATGGCCACCGTTGGTTCCGAATGGAGGAGGGAGGAAGAAGGGGGCGGCGCTAGCGCCTCAATCGACCGAACCTCGGCGTTGAGTCGAGCTGCGTCGAGAGGTTAGCGTCTCGGCGTCATCGATCGCACGCCGACCTCTTGGCCCACGAAGCGTTGTTGTGGGCCACCAGGCCACGACGGATGGTGCCAAGAGCTCATGCGTGACTCCCCTAACGCCAATTTAGGCCTGTGGCGTTATTGACACGACGACGACGACGTCTTGGGCCCCATGCGCCAGCCCTAGAGTCGTCGGTGACGTGGCAAGGACTCGGCGTTGTGTCAGTCGACGCCGACCTTCATACCTCGGCGTGATTTCCTAAGACACTTAAAAATGGTTTATTTGTAGCAAAAGTTTTGGCAGGGGTCTTTTTGTAAAAAAATGTTTTAAAAAGGGACCAAAATGCAAAAATTTCACGCTCATTCTCGTAAAACTATCGTATCGGGGAGATAGACCACTTTTCGGGCTAGTCCCAAATAGCTCTCATGAGGAGTTGCATCCCGTGATAGGTTGGGACCCACCCTAATGATCACCTTCTTCACCTTTTTCTCCTCTTTGCATCTCTCGGCCTCCACCGCAGCCGCCACCAAAGCATTGAGGAGGTGCGCCACCTCTACACCCAGTCTGAGAAGAAGAGCGGAGGGAAGAGAGAATGGAGACATGGGACAAGAGAGAAGAATACAAGAAGGATGAAGGATGTGGGAGGCCTAGATGATAAGGGCACAAGTGCAGTGTGTGAGCTCAATGCCATTAAGGAGTGCCGGGAGGTGGAGTAGGAGACAAAGGAGATAATAGGCCATGTACTACTCGTCAGACAGTGGGGCAAACTATAAAGAGCAAGTAGAGGGAGGCAACAGATGGGTCTCTGTGCAAGCACAGGTAATCAGGCCAGTGTAGCGAGATACAATGTCAAAACGGCTCTACAAAACCATCTAGGCCATTTAAACAATATTAGATGCTCTAATAACTATAATATTAAATTTTATAGTTGATGCGTTATATAGTCAACCCTTGATATGTTAAGGGGGACTTTTTTCTACTATTTGCTGACTCACTGCCATGTCAACACTCATATAATATGCCATGTCAATGAAACCGCTTTCAAAAACACCTTCAAAACCGCCTCAGGAGTTATGTAGATGGTTTCTAGTAGTTTAAGAGGTGTTATTTAGATGGTTTTTTTTCCATAGTTGAGGAGGTGAAATAGACAACTATCAATACTTATAAGGGTCAAATATACTTTTTTTTATCTAGATATGTGTATTATGAATGTAGTTTTACAGATGTCTTCGTAAAAGGCACAATAGTGTAACGAAAACCGAAAACGAACTACGTGAACAATATCACATTTTTTTTAAAAAAAAGTGGTGCTCCAACACATTTTTTTTAGAATCACACGGTATAACGTAGACGCCTACAACACGCACGCACACTGATCCCTATAAACACACGTACGTAAATACTAGCCGGTATTAGTTATTTGGGCATTTCCTTTCTTTCTGGGCCTAATTTAGTACTAGTAAGTAGTTTCATAGAAGTTAGCCCACGAAAAAGAGAGGCCCAATTAACAACAACCCAGCGGGGTGGGTTGCCACCACCAGCCAACTCCTCCCCGTTCGGCCATTCCATTCCCCATATTCCGCCGCATCACAATCTCACGTGTCCGTCGCCGGCGATGGACCGGCAGCCGCCCACCGCCTTGCTCTCGCCGCAGGAGTGGGAGCAGCTCTTCGACGATTTCGCTTCCTCCTCGAACCCCTCTCGCCGCGACCGATGGCTCCACCTCCCGCTCCTGGACCTCGCTGTCTCCTCGCTGCTCCGCCGCGACCTCCCCTCCCACCTCAAGCCCCTCCTCCTCTCCCTAGTCGACGACCACCTGCTCCCGCCCTCCCCGAGCAGCCTCCCCGCCCTCCTCGCCTCCCTCCTCTCCTTCCCGCTGGACCACCCGCGCCGTGACCACCTCCTCGTCACCGTCGTCTCCGCCTTCGCCTCCGCCCTCTCCGCGCCCGTCTCCAGGGACCACGAGGCCCCGCACCTCGCCGCCCTCGTCGACGCACTCCTCGCCGCCGCCAACCGCCCCAACCACGCGCCCGACCGCGCCGCCCGCGCGCTCGCCTGCGACGCTCTGCGAGCCCTCGACGCCGCGCTACCGGGTCTCCTCGCCGAGGCCCTCGGGCACCTCTACGCGCTCGCCGCCGCGGAACGCTCCCCGGCCGCGCAGTCCTACCTCCTCCTGCTCGCCTCCGCCGCGCGCCACGCCGTGCGCCTCGGGAGGCTCGCCTCCGGCGCCTCCATCCTGGCGGTAGCCGGCCCGCCCACCCCCTTCACCGTGCCCGCTCACCTGCTCTCGCCTCTCGCCGCCCCTGGCGCGTCCGTGGCGCCGCCCTCGGAGGTGAACGTCAGGGACATACGGAAGGTGCTCGCTCTGCTCATGGACCGGCCGCAGGTGCTCACGCCCGCAGCGGCCATGGAGATGATGGCCATCCTCGCCGAGGTCGCGTCGGCTGTGCTCCAGTGGGCGCCAGCGATTGCAGCGCACATCAAGGTGCAGTTCGGGGGGATGGTGCATTCGTCCAGCCCCATGCTGCTACACTCGCTGCTCACGCTCTTCGTCCAGTTCCCAGATGCCTTTGGGGCTGAGGATGAGCGCACAATGGCACACCGCCTGGCTTTGGCTGCCCGTGAGGTGCACCGTCCACTTGCAGTGCGATTGCTGGCTTTGCATTGGCTACTCGGCTCTGTCAGGTTCAGAAATCTGGTGCCTGGTCTCGCCCGATGGTTTTACCCTGCCGTGTTCGATCCCCTCGCGCTCAAGGCCAAGAAACTGGATTGTCTAGCTTATGTTGCTGCTGGTGTTGATGGGGAGAAGGTTGCAGCAGCAGACAGAGCGAGTGACCAAGCAACTGGGCTACTTGACGATGGCTTGGTTTGCGTCTCCGCCTTCAGGTGGCTCCTAGCATGGAGTACTGAAACGGGTGTGGCATTCCGAGCGCTGCACAGTGTCTTGGTTGGTGCTGCTCCTCACAGCACTGACGGCACACGCTGCTCCGGGGCTGGTGAGCTCCTGAATTCTACTTTCTTCCACCATTTACAGGTAGAAATTTGTTGAGATAGATAACAATAGGCACGTCCATCAGACATGCAAGACAACAAGTTCAATTATGGTTCAAACCAATTTAGCGAGTCTTTCTGTTGTCACTATGTATGCAGGCTATCTTGGTTGATATGGCATCAGAGCATCAGGGTTTAGTCCCAGTGATTGCTGATTTCACCAACCGTCTGCTAGCATGCAACTCACATCGGTGGGCTGGGGAGCGATTGCTCCGGACACTTGACGAGTGTCTGCTTCCCAAGGCTTGAGCCAGGCTACCAGCTTGCGCCATACTACCCTATTTTTTTGAGAAGATTGCACAGAATGAGACGGTGCCTCAGCACCGCCTAATAGAATTGCTCACCAAGCAGATGGTTTCTCTCACCAAGAAGCATGGACCAGACACAGAGCTGAAGTCATGGTCTCAGGGAAGCAAAGTTGTGGGCATTTGTCGTGTCATGTTGAAGCACCATCACAGCTCTCATATTTTCCTCCCCCTTTCGCACCTTCTTGTGCTTACTATCGAGTCCTTCCCAGATCTGGAGGTCCGGGACCATGCCAGGTAGAGTTTAAGTTATCACCTGATTTGTGTTATCTGTTATTGGATTGTCTTCTCATCACTTTAAATGATCCATCCAGGATTTGCTTGCGGATGTTATCTTGTGTTCCTGGGAAGAAACTGAGGCATATCATGGGAGTTGGAGAACAACCTTCAGGTGTCACACCTTCTCATTCTGGTTCCTTGTATGACATCCCATCACCGCGTGCTGCTCAAGATCTTAAGAGCATGCCTGATCTGGCATCTTACATTCATCTTGAAAGGGTTGTGCCTCTAATTGTGAAGCAATCGTGGGCCCTCACATTGCCTAATTTCAGTGTCCAGAACAGACCATCTGGTTCCATTCTAAGTATACAGGACGTCAGCTCTGCTCCCTCAGAGCAAGAAAATCCAACAGGACCTACAATTGAGAGAATTGGCTATAGACAAGAAACCTTACGTGTGATGGACTCTAAAGGTGCTGCAACATTGCAGATTCTCGGAAGGTATTTCACGTGCGTTCCAGACTACCTACACTCATCTGGTTTCAAGATACGAATACAGTGCACTTTTAGATTTGACTCAGAGCCATTTAATGATGCATGGGGGTTAGATTTGCCAGTTTCAGGTTCTGATGGGGCTGATGAGCTGCCTGCCCTTTATGCAGTGACGATTACATTTTCATCAAGTGCACATTTTGGGAAAATTCCATCATGCCATATTCCTTTCATTCTAGGGGAACCTTGTGGCATAACCTCCTAAATTATTGGGCCCACATGCATCTGTCACTGTCCAACGACCTTTGACATCTATGCATATGTTACCGATAACCTAAGAAGACTGTCGGGTGTCCTCGGGGAACCCCGAATCATCCACGATTTCCGAGCAGGATCACATTACAGAGTCATTGCAGTATTACAACAGTTTATTCAAATAGATACCTCAGAGTAAAAACAGCGGAAGTTTTACAATAACATAATTTACAAACCATTTGTTTCAAACCATACAACTAAGTTCGATTATTAATACAAACCAAAGTAGTGGAGTGGCATTATAATAAATTACAAAACACACGAATAAAGCTGCCCTGCCCAAGGGCCACACATCTACTTATCGTCATCGCACTGAACAACAGACATGCAGCACGATCCAAAACAGATCTGCTCATGAGCCTCACCTACAACAAGGGTCAACGAACCCTGAGTACAAAAGTACTCAACAAGACTTAACCGAAATAGAAACAGAGAAACTCAGGAATGCAGGCTCATGGGATTCAAGGTATGGCTTTAGCAATAATCAAAGTTCTTTTGCGTAAAAGCTCTTTTAACAAAATTCTTTATTTCAACATTTAAAACTTCATAAGATCATATACAAAGCTGACACGATCCGTATTGAGATCATGAAACTTCATATCCAACACTTTCTCAAACCATACTCAAGTTCCAGTTATTAATACTACGATGATGAACAGAGAAGTGAGTCTCCATAACCGAGGAGCAACGACGATTCGAACCGATTATAAACCCAAATTGGGAATTCCAGACCACCACGACATATGCGGGTCCCCGACCTACATATATCAACCTACCCTCGGATCCTCTAAACAAGAACGGGTCCATCACACCCGAGAATACAAGACTCCACACTTCACCCATTGCCACGTGGGTACACGCTATTCCCGTCATCTCTCCACTCTCTCGGTCGCGAGAGTAACCATTCTCGTAATAGAATAGCCAAGTTAAGGCTTACCGGAGTATGCGGTTAGTACTACAAAGTCTCACCTCAAGCGGTTCAACAACGGTACGGACCTTAATCGACACGGCAAGAAAGAACCCTCCACAAGACCTCCATGTCTTGTGGCTCACACACACCGAAAGTCCGTCTGGTCTAGATTTATTACTCCACATTTCCATATCACATGTTAACATAATTAACCAAAGTTCCATTGAAAGTTCGCGGTGACAGCAATCACCCGATTTTCATCGTTCTAAGCATAGCTAAGCAAAACTAGGCATATACGAATTTAAAACTGGTAATATGGTAAATATGGAATAACAAGGTTGCTAATGCACCAATTAGGTTTTCACTTAACTCCTAATCACTTAATGCAGTAAACGGAAGCAAAAGCGAAATAAATTTGTAAAATACAAGGTAGGGTTATATGCATCCGGGGCTTGCCTTCGATGACGGAAAAGTCCGGGTCCGGAGTCGTTCCACCGATATCAACACTAACCTCCACAGATGGCTCAACCTCCTCAACTACTTGATTAACTACCATGGGTTCACCTTCGTTCACTACACGTAGTAACAATGCCATGTTTAACATGATGCGGAATACAAAACATGATGCTCGATGATGGATACAAAATTAAACAACTTGAATACAACTTTCCTTCGCGGTACAGTTACAAGTCAAACTAACTAAACCTATTTCGTAATACATACATCAATTGCCAAAGATCATTATCCACTAATGACCCAAGGACATCACTCAATCAAAAGTTCAATCAAAACCTAAATCATTAAAGGTTACTATTCGCTTTTATGAATTAATTATTTAATTAAAAATTATGAAATAAATCAACTTGTTCCAATTGAGCTCAAAATTTTTGTAAGCGTTCATTACATGATAACTAAGTGTCAAAACAATTTTCATAATTTTTGGATAATTAATTAAGCCTAGAAAAATCATGGAAAATCATTTATTAATTAATTGAGCAATTTTTATCATACCCCAAAAATACTTAAAATCAATATTTCAAATTTTTGTCACATAATATACATCACAAAGAAGTCACACAAAAATTTTCATAATTTTTGGAGCTCTAAATAAATTTACACAAAAATAACAAATTCCAGCACTATTCATATAAATCTGAAAAACAGAAAATTCATTTTGAACGCTGAGTCACCGACATCGGACCCCACATGTCATCTTCAACCTTCGCGTTGACTACGACGATCGATGATGGCGCTGACCGCTAAACTCGCCGACGGTGAATCCAAATCGACGGTCAAGGTACCAAAATGACCACATCATCACGGCGCGTCGATTGAAGGCACTAGCTAGACGAATTACTACGAGCTACGAGCTTGGCATCGGCCATGGCGGATGCGGGCGGCTCGGCGGCGCTCTACGCCGCCGACAGAGAGAGCCCGTAGCGATTAAATAAACGGTACAGAAAGCACCAGTAGCTCACCACGAACACGACGGAGCAGCGAGAGCAAGGTCGAGAAGCGGCGTGGGCGTGGGTCGACGCGTGCACAAAGAACGGCGGCGGAGCAAGGATCGTCGGTGATGGTGTGCCGGCGACTGTGGTGATCGAAATGAGCAAGCAACAACGGATTAAGCATCGCAGCATCGAGACGGAGCCGGAGCTACGCTAATCAGAAGCAACAGCTCACCGGAGGGTGCTGGCCGCGGTGAAATGGGATCACGGGTGAGTTCACCGGCCGCGAGGAAGAAAGGCGTGGACAGCGAATTTCCGACGGAGTCAAACCAAATTGGTGGGTCGGCTGGACGCGCAAGGAGTAGGCGGAGCTGGAGCTAGCTTATCAGCGATGGTGGAGCACAACAACGACGGCACGAGCTCACCGGAGATAAAGCAGTGGCGACGGGAAAACAGAGCAAGGGAACGGGGTCAAACGACGACGGTTCAGGCTTTAAAGGATGGCCAGGAAGCTCAAGGAAGCTGCGCTGTGGCCTTCACCGCGCCAGCGCGACGCCAAAACGGCCACGACCGCACCTGGAACGCCGAAGAAGGAAACGCCGGCAATGTAGCTTCGGCGGTGGACACTGTTCACTCAAATTACAGAAATGCCATTCGCCCAAAATTCACAAATTACTCTCAAATTTTCATAACAACTCAAAAATCTCCAAAAACAAAAGTTGTTCAAAATCAAAAGTTCTACAACTTTGCTTTTGAAACCATATCCAAATTCATTCTACATTTTGAAATTCAAATTTAAATTCAAAAGGGGACACTTTAAAGAATTATGCCTTTTCAAATTACTTCAAATTTTACTAAACAACTTTGAAAACTCCAAAAACCAACTTTGTACAACTTGACAAGATCTACACTTTTGCTTTTAAGCTCAACCCCAAAATATGCTTAGATTTTTAAATGAGTTTTCAGGGTAGAATTTAAATACTGAAATTAGGGTTTTCGGAATTTTAAAACAATACAGGTATTTCAAACTCGATTCAAACAATACAATTCAACACTTATACATGAATGTAAACTTGTTTTAGTGAATGCATATCAAAGTTTGCAATATGACCAAATGCTTTGCAATGCATATGATGACATGACAGTTTTAGTATTTAAAACACCCGGGGTGTTACAAACCTCCAGGTTCTGGTATGGACATCGTCCCCATTGATAATCAGAACAGGGAAGAATCCAGTTACTGTGCTTCAGTGATGATAGAACTGGAACCTCAAGAGCCTTCACCTGGCCTTATTGATGTTTCAGTTGAAGCAAACACTGAGAACTGCCAAGTTTTATCAGGGTCCCTTAAACCCATTACAGTTGGTATTGAGGACATGTTTCTAAAGGCCAGCGTACCACCTGATACTCCAAGAGAGGGTGTGGCTATGTACTACCAGGATCTGTTTCATGCTTTATGGGAGGCCTGTGATAGCTCTACTAACACAGGTCGAGAAACTTTCCCTTTGAGTGGAGGGAAAGGGTCAGCTGCCATTAACGGAACTCGGTCTGTTAAACTTTTGGAGGTAACTCCAAAGGTTTTGATTGGAGCTGTTGAAAGATATCTGGCTTCCTTTGTTGTCAGTGTTTCTGGAGGTTCACTTGTAACCATTCTGAGAGGAAACGGAGTCATTAAGAATGTCATGTGGGAAGAAAATGTCCCAGATGCCAGTGTAGATGCTGATGCACTGGTTCCGTACTCACCGGACAACAATCTCCAGCTTCAGCTCGTAGATGACGACGAGATTGGGGTTGGTGCTGAGAGGTATGGCCATGAAAGCAAGAGAGAGATGGGAATCATGCGGGTCATGATATTCCTACCACCCAGGTATCACCTCCTACGTTACACCGATACTTCCCTGAACTGCCGTACTGGTATCGCGATACGTATCGGATACGCCGATACGCCGATACGCCGCCGATACGGTATCGGTGAAGTATCGGGAAATACATCAATAAAAATAAATAAATTAAATCCCGATACGCCGCCGATACGGCCCATTTAGAAAGCCCTCAAAGCCTGCTAGTTACACATTCACAGCATCGCCACCATTGCATCGAGCCAGGAACGACGGGCTGCCCGCTCCTGCCGCCGCCGCCGACGCCGCCTGCTCCTGCCGCCGACGCCGACCCAGATGTGGGATGTTGGGGCAGACAATCATGAGACCTTTCATGGTGCTGGCATTCTTGAACATGCTAATCTCTCACTGGATGAGCCAGAATTTGAACGGATATTATTTGAAGATGAAGAAGGCGTATCTGGCACTGAGATGCAGTAGCAACCTTAGCCTTAAATTTGGCTTGTGTCCCTACTCCCTTGTATCCTAATATTTATTATTCTGCTGTAAAAATGTTAAAACCAATATTAATTATTGTGCTGTAAGAACCTTAAAATCAAGTATCTTAGATGCTTCATGGAACTAGCAATGTCTATGTTTTGCCATTTTTATTTGTTGATTGTTCTGCTAGATGAAAAATGTTCTCAGTAGGTGTATTATGATTTTTTTGATATATTTATATACTTGCCGTATCGGCGTATCCTTGTTTTTGGAAAATGCCGTATCACCGTATCGCCGTATCGGTATCGGCGTATCAGTATCCCGTATCGGTGCAACGTAGATCACCTCCTGTTTCTGATGGAGGTAGGCCGTGCCTCAACATTGGTCAGGATAAGGACCGATCATTGGCCATGCCTTGCATACGTCGACGAATACTTGGAAGCATTGATTTCTTAGAGGATTTATGTGGGCAATGGTGTGCAGTTTTGTACCAATGTTGTTCAGTTTTGTACCTTATGTAACACTACAGAGTGAACATTGAGAGTTTGGGGGCTTATGCTTTTTGAGGCCTTTTTTCTCTTTACCATTGAGGTTGGAGCGGCATTCTTTTTTCTTTGGATTCTGAGTTGGGAGCTGTAAGCCTGTAACTTCCGGGAGAGAGCAGTTTTGTTCACTGGTATCATCAAGAATACATATTTATATACGCAGAAATTAAGTCCTCATTGCACGTTTTGACTGCAATTTGTTCCTTTTTTTTTCCCTAGCTCTACTGCTGAGGTGATGTGAAGTAGGGGGCTTTCATTGTGCTGTATTTGTCGAATATATCATCTTATAACAAATTTCTGGAAAAAGCTAAGAAAAACATTCAGTGGCCGGAGTCACGTATGCTTGATTCATTTGCTTGGTGTGCCGCAGAAGGTACAGTCTGCAACTGTATTATAATTTATAAGCATACGAAAGCATTGCATTCTCTGCCTCTCTGGTAACAATGCACATTCAAGAAATGAGCATCATGCACACTATTATCTGGAAACATGGCATCAACATTCAGCCTCCTGGAATCCTTATCTGATTTCTGACTTAAGTAAGATGCTCCTAGGCTCCTAGCTTGTGTAGTTTGCTAGGAGGGACTCTATGGCTGCATTCTTGGCCTGCACATCTTTGTACTTGATTCGATAGCCATGCCCTGTGAACAAGTCAATTCCAGTACACAATTTAATAAAAAAAACAAATGGATAAACAACATAGAATAGATAAAAGTATTATGAAGTAGAAATGGGTTACAAATCCAATTGAAATTTGCTAACTTATATTCCATCTCAGGGATATATTTGGAGTGCTGCGTACCAGGTAAAAGCCACTCGAACTCTACCTCCAATAGTTTCCTGATGCTTTCCAGCTGAAGGCTCACTGCAAGTTTGTTGTACAACACACAGACATAATATTAATAATCAGATTTCCAAGCTAATGGTATAACACATTCATCGGTATCACTGGTTAGATATGAAAACTAGCAGGAAGGGATCAACACTTCTACCTGACTGCTTGCTGTACATCAGAAAGAGATTCAGGTCGTCTGATTCTTCTGAGTTTGCAACATGGTCTCCAGTGAACAGCACCTTTAGCGGTTTGCAATACAAGCAGACCGAACCCTAGAAAAATGTTTGACTTGATTATCAAACTAGATGCAATGGAGGTAATGAGCAAGGTGCTAAATCTGTGTCGCTAAAAATGGATTGTTACTGATTGCGTTTAGATTCAAGTCTATTAAGTTGAATTTCTTACTGGGGTATGGCCTGGCGTATGGATAAGTTCAAAATCTGTTCCTATGTTCCATGGCCCATTTCCTTCAAGTTTCCACTCAACATCTGCAGTAGTCTCCTCCACCTGCATCAGAATGGTTACTGCGGTGGACATGTTTGAAAGAGCAGAGTTCACTGGGAGGCAGGAACAAATGGAACCTACATTATCAATGCGATGAATGCTTGCTAACTATTCCAATGTTGTAACTTTATTTCTTTTGGAAATTTCCTCCATTTGAAGCACTATGGATTATCTAGACCACTAATCAGTTCTTCAATAAGATATATGAATATTGAATGCTTTAATAGTGCCCAAACTGCAATGCTTATCATGTATTAATTAAAGTAGAAGCAGATGTATTGAAGTAGAAGCATAATACGTAGGCAGCATGTGCTTTTGTCACTCTTCAGGATGAGGCCTTGCTAATCAATATATATGAGAGCAGAGTCCCAAAATGGATACGAATAACGTACATGGGGTTTGCAATTAAAATTTATCAGGAATTTTGCTATTCTATCATGTCAAATAGAAGGATATAGCGAGAGATGCAGTTCTTACATCTCCTGAATGAATTATTCTTTTACATTTTAGCTGCTCAGTCCACTTCCTGTGATCCGCCACATCATCACTGTACAGTGGTAATTAGTGAGATCCCTTGAGTTTCCAATAGAAGATGACAACTACATGAAGAAAGAACACAGTTGTGTATGGTTGAGGTCCAAGCATACATGTGGGTCAAAAACATGTAGCGCGCTCCACCAAGCTTTTCAATATTGTTGGCCAGCTTTGGAGTATACCTTGGGCTAAAAGAAAAATAAAAGATATATATTAAAGCATCTGTATGACTGTATCACAGAATTCTGCTTCTGAAGTACATAATCATCAAGGGAAATTAAAAGCATAAAACTTTGTGCCCAAGGTGAACTCTACCAGGAACATAGCCCTTTTTGAGTCTAATAAAAGACTTGTGCAACTTTCTTCTTTTCTTTATAGTCTACTCAGATCATCACAGCGGTCTTTTAGGCAATGGCATGGTATACAAGGTGAACCTTTGATTACCAATTTGTACAAAAACGTATTATTTCAAATAGAAAGAGTTATATATTATTATGAAATTACTTTTACTGATGGATATAGTAGCATCAACCTTACATTGGGAAACTATTTGATTTGGATTCCTAGCTACTGGCTGGAGACCCATCTATTACCTGTCAATCAGTATGTTTCCTTGTGGATGAATTACCAGGTACGATGTTGCCCCATACGAGTCTTCAGAATTGTACCCACAGAGATAAATGCCCTGAACATTAAATGTTGGTGATGTGATTGCATAGTATACCAGAATGAAGATTTCATAAATATTGGCAGAACTGTAACTACATCTTAGATTCTTATATAATACATATATAGACAAAAAGGAACAAGATTTCAACCATAGCTATACATATACACGGACTGAGAAAGGCCATAAGGAAAAGGAGACAGTGAAAGAATGCGTACTGGGAGTAGATTGTCGTCGATTGGAAGAGGAAACATGTTTTGCACTTTAAGCATGTCTTTTGGAGGTTTTTCAGTGTGAATTGAGGATGTTGGACAGGAGAGCAGCGCCTGGAAATGACACAAAAAATTTAACTCTGTGAAAGATAGTGGTGTTGCAGCTGCTATCACAAAGCATTCAGAGTTTAATAACAACAACAACAAAAGAAGAAGAAGAACGCATTCAGAGTTGGCACAGCTGCAGCAGTACACAAGCTACATAAAGGCAGCTAGGATATATGGGGGGAGCGCGCGCGCACGCGCGCGCGCGCGCACACACACACAGGCACACCTGCAGGGCCTTGGTCCTCTCCTCCTCGGAGTTAGGCTGCGCAGCTACGGCGGCCTTGCCATCCACCCTCTTGAACACCTCCTGCATGCCGGCACGCGATGGTAGTGTTAGCCATAGCCAAGCGACTGAAGCTGAAGGATGCGATACAAGGATGGGATGGGAGGAAGCTGCTTACCGGCGCCATCCATCGGCAGGTCTGGCAGTCGATGCAACGGTGGTCTGCGCGGCGCCGCCGAGGGGATGAAACCGTGAAAAGGCAAACACCGCGCGGCAGTCAGGCAAAGCTCTTGTTGTTGGAGGAAAAGAAAGAGAAGCTGTATCTTGCTCTGCTCACCGACGAAGAAATCGCCGGCCACGTTCTGCGGCCGTCGCCGGCGGTCCAGCGCCGCAGGGGAGGCGGCGGCGCGAAACGGCAGGATACATCTTCGGGGACGCGGCCGCGCGGTGGGCGTGGAGAAGTAGGAGTACACGGCGGCGCCAAGGCTCATCAACGCCATGTGTGTGTCAGAGTGTGTGCGTGTGAGCGAGAGAGAGAGAGAGAGAGACGGTGTCTGAATTGAAGTGAAGAAGTCGGAGTTCTCTTGCTGTGGACTGTGGTCAAAACTGCACAGGACAGGACGGGGAGACACAGGGTGCGTATCTGACCTTTTTTTTTTACCTCAGTCCACGTGTATCCGTGCGGATTAAATAAAGTAAAAAAAAGCTGATTTTTACTCCAACCCACTTGATTGATTTGAGTGCAAGCGCATCCAAATAAGTCCTCCGGGGTTTCTAGTAGTCACTGTATACACAAGCAAGACTTGGTGCAGAACAGCAGAAGCACCAAGACATAGAAAAACACCACACAGCGTCATCATCCTACAGCCACAATCATGCACGAACATGCACCGTTGATCTTAAGATCTTAAGAGCATGCCTGATCTGGCATCTTATTGCATTCATCTTGAAAGGGTTGTACCTCTGACTGTGAAGCAATCGTGGGCCCTCGCAATGCCTAATTAATTTCAGTGTCCAGAGCAGACTATCTGGTTCCATTCTACGTATATATACATACAAAGATGCCCAACGGGCCGGCTCGGCACGGCACGGCACGGCCCCATGCCAGCACAGCCCGATAGCCAACGGGCCGGCATGGCACGCCATGCCTCCCGGGCCGTGCCTCACATGGCCACGGGCCTGGCCTTCAGCCTAGGCACAGCCCTATGGACCGATTTTCGTACCGGCTCGGCCCGAGAAGCACGGCCGTTTTCACAAGCCGTGCCAGCCCGAGGCCCACTGAGTGCCGACACAGAGAGAGAGGAGGGAGGAGAGGGTAGGCTGGGTCGCCGGGACGCAGGGGGCGTGGAGGAACGGCGGGGGCTCGAGGCCAGCCACCGCGCGGGGGCCTTGGGGGAGGAGGGTGGCTGTCGGCGTGCTCGAGGCCGGCGCGTGCGCCGCGGCCGCGTGGGGAGGCGAGGAGGAGGTAGCCGCCAGGGCTGGGAGAGGCGGAGCTCCGGATCTCAGGGGCAGGGAGGGAGGTCGTCGTATCTGCGTGGAGGTAGAATTCGAGTGGCTTTTACCTGGTACAGACTCCTTCAAATATATCCCTGAGATGGAATATAAGTAGAAAAAAATCAATTTGATTTCTAACCCATTTCTACTTCATACGTATTAGTTTTATCCATGTTATGCCGTTTATCCATTTGTTTTTTATATTAACTTGTGTGCTGGAATTGAGTTGTTCACAGGACATGGCTACCGAATCAAGTACAAAGATGTACAGGCCAAGAATGCAGCAATGGAGACCCTCATAGCTAACTACACAAGCTAGGGGCCTAGGAGCATCTTACTTCAGTCAGTGCTGACAAATAAGGATTCCAGGAGGCTGAATGTTGATGCTACTATTTCCAGATAATAGTGTTCATGATGCTCAGGTCTTGAATGAGCATTTGTTAGCAGAGAATGCAATGCTTTCGTATGTTTATAATACAGCTGCAGATTGTACCTAGTGCTGCACACCAAGCATATGTAACTTGGCCCACTGAATGTTTCTCAGCTTATTCCAGAAAATTTGCAAGATCCTAGGATTTGTTATAAGAAATTTTGCACACCAAGCATATGTTATAAGTTGATGTGTGTTTACCAAGATGATGTGTTTTACAAATACAACAAAAATGAACGCCCCTACTTCACATCACCTCATCAGTAGAGCTAGAAAAAAAAAAGAGAACAAATTGCAGACAAAACCTGCAATGGGGACTTAATTTCTGCGTATAATTGTGTATTCTTGATGATACCAGTGAAGAAAACTACTCTCTCCGTCAAGTTACAGGCTTATGGCTCTCAACACAGAATCCAACCTCAATAGTAATGAGAAACAAAAGTCCTCAAACAACATAATCCCCAAAACTCTCAGTTAAGGTACAAAACTGGACACCATTGGCCACAGAAATCCTCTCTTGGAGTATCAGGTGGTGGTACGCTGGCCTTCAGAAACATGTCCTCAATGCCAACTGTGGTGGGTTTGTGGGACCCTGATAAGACTTGGTAGTCCTCTGTGTTTGCTGCAACTGAGTCATCAATAGGGCCAGGTGAAGGCTCTTGAGGTTCCAGTTCTATCATCACTGAAGCACAGTAACTGGATTCTTCCCTGTTCTCATTATCCATCTATGGGGACGATGTCATACCAAAACCTGGAGGTTCCCCTGGCATGATGGAATTTTCCCAAACTGTTGCACTTGATGAAAATGTAATTGTCACTGCGTAAAGGGCAAGCAATTCATCATCCCTATCAGAACCTGAAACTGGCAAATGTAACTAACCCCCACGCATCGTTAAATGGCTCTGAGTCAAATCTAAAAATGCCCGACCAGATGAGTGTAGGTAGTCTGGAATGCACGCCAAGTACCTTATGAGAATTTGCAATGCCTTTTAGAATCCATCACACGATAGCTTTTCTTGTGTATAGCCAATTCCCTCAATTGTAGGTCCTGTTGGATTTTCTTGCTCCGAGGGGAGCAGAGCTGACGTCCTGTATGTATATATAAATGTCCATGTAGCCCGAGGCATGACGGCACGGCACGAAGCCCGCTTTTTTAGCCCGGCCCGGCCCGGCCCGGTGACGTGCGGGCCTGGGCTGGCCCGGCCCGAAGGAGCAGGCCGTGCCTGGGCCGCTGCTCAGGCCCGTGGGCTGGCACGGCACGGCCCGGCCTGAGTCGGTCGGCCCGGCCTCCCCCCTCCCCCCCCACTCATCCTCCCCTCCCCAAGGCCCAGCGTGGCCGGCCCACCGTCCCCGCCTCCCCCCTCCTCATATATAAGCGCACTCCCACGCGTCACGCCTCGCGCAACCGCCCGCCCCCTCCCTTCCCTCATGGACGCCCCTCTCTTCCCTCGCGTCGCGCCTCAACGACCGCCTCCCTCCCTTCCCGGAAGCCTTAACTGTCGCCGTCGAGAGCCTCGCCGCCTCCTCGTCTCCTCGAGCCGTCGTGAGGTCTTCCCCGAGCCGACGCCGTCGTCGTTCGTCTTCCTCCGTGCTGACTCGTGTCGCCGCCTCCTCTTCCTCCTTCCTTGCCCCACCGTCGAGTCGAAGCACCACAGACATGGCCTCCTCCCTCGATGCCGACGAGGCCTGCCGGCGCCCTCCCTCCCTCCCTCCCCCGTCCTCCATCTCTCCTTCCCCGTGCGGATCCCTCTCCCTCCCTCCCTCAGCTCAGATACGGCGGCTCCCTTGCCGTGCCTCCTCCGCTCAGATCCGATAGTTTCCTGATGCTTTCCAGATGAAGGCTCACTGCAAGTTTATTGTACAACAGACAGGCATGATAATCAGATTTCCAAGCGAATGGTATAATTCATCAGTATCATTGGTTAGATATGAAGACTAGCATGAGGGATCAACGCTTCTACCTGGTTGCCTGTTGTACATCAGAAAGAGAACCAGATCATCTGATTCTTCTGACTTTGCAACATGGTCTCCAGTGAACAGCACCTTTAGCGATTTGTAATACAAGCAGACCGAGCCCTAGAAAAATGTTTGACTTGATTATCAAACTAGACACATTGAAGATAATGTGCAAGGTGCTAAATCCGTGTTGCTAAAAATTGATTGTTACTGTGTGTCTGGATTAGTCTATTAAGCTGAATTTCTTACTGGGGTGGCCTGGCGTATGGATAAGTTCAAAATCTGTTCCGATGTTCCATGGCCCATTTCCATCAAGTTTCCACTCAACATCTGCAGACGCCTCCGCCACCTGCATCAGAATGCTTATGGCGCAAAGACTATCAGGACATGTCCGAAAGAGCAGAGTTCACTGGGTGGCAGGAATAAATGGAACCTACAATATCAATGAGATGAATGCTTGCTAACTATTCCAATGTTGTAAGTTTATTTCTTTTGGAAATTTCCTCCATTTGAAGCATTATGGATAATCTACATCACTAATCAGTTCTTCAATAAGATATATCAAATGCTTTAGTAGTACCCAAACTGCAATGATAAAATATATGAATATGAATACCAAATGCTTTAGTAGTGCCAAAACAGCAAGCTTATCATGTAGTACCTAAACTGCAATGTTAAGGTAGAAGCATATTATGTAGGCAGCGTGTGCTTTTGTAACTCTTCAGGATGATGCCTTGTTAACCAATATCTGATTGTAGTGTTTCAAAAAGGATATAAATAATGTTCATGGGGTTTGCAATTAAGATTTATCAGGAATTTGCCATTCTATCATGTCAAATAGAAGGATATAAGCGAGAGATGCAATTCTTACATCTTCTGAATGAATTATTCTTTCACATTTTAGCCGCTCAGCCCACTTCCTGTGATCCGCCACATCATCACTGTATGGTGGTCATTAGTGAGATCTCTTTAATTTCTAACAGAAGGTGACAAGTACATGAAGAAGTAACACAATCGTGAAGTCCAAACATACATGTGGGTCAAAAACATGTAGCGCGCTCCACCAAGCTTTTCAATATTGTTCGCCAGTTTTTTAGTATACCTTGGGCTAAAAGAAAATAAAAGATATATATTAAAGCATCTGAATCACATAATTCTGTTTCTGAATTGCATAATCACCAATCAGAAATTGAAAGGGCTATACATTATGGAATTACTTTCACTGATGGATATGTTAGGATCGTAGATTACCTCTGTGTAACTGTAGATCCAGGGTAGGTGTTTCTCCACCATTCGGTCCACGGACGCCGATGTCATGGCAGTTCCGGCATAGTGATGGAGACGATGTCCAGTGGCCCAATGGTGACCCTGCAGAGGCGGCGGTGGTGTGGTGGAGCTTTCCGTCGCTGGCAGCACTGCTTTAGATCGGTTTAGGTTTTCTCTGTAGGTGGGTATGGCGGCTTCGTTGAACCTCGTAGCGTGAGCCATGATTCCCACCTCTCTTTTATATGTGTTGTGCGATAGGGGCTCACCAACCATATTAGGGTTGGGCTCCCCCGATCAGGGAGCAGAGACAAGAGCCTAATAGGCTGTTGGGCCTATTGGTGGAGATCAACTAAC